TTAATTCCTTACCTCCTCCCCACCAACCAGCAGTTGACACCTCGTCACCATAACCATATCACACACAGATTACAAAATACAAAACACAAAAAATCTGCTGTACTTCACAGTATCTGTAGCTAATCAACAAGTTCCATCTTTCTTTGCCATGCGCTGATGAGATTTTCAGCAACAGAGTTAAGGCATAATCCAGTACTGGTTGATTTCCCTTTGTCGCAGCTGCAGGCTCCCATCTATAATTCAAAACCCTACTGTAGAGAGAAGAAGCAAATCACATTTAAACAAATTTTTTTTACAGTCTTGGTTCACCTGCATATCACAATTAAAACAAAAGTTAATACACCAGTTACCACACAACTTTCTACTTCTTATTGATTTGTAAAAAGAATAAGGAACTTCATAATATATCTCAGTATCAAGATTGTCAAGATTTCCTTGTTACGTGCTAATTGGAAGATATGATACTCAAATAAGAAAAGGTGAGTTTTTGGTATAAGTTTATATGAGTTTGGACTTTTCAATGTTAATAGAAAGATATGATTCTCTTAAAGCTGTATTGCTTCTTCTTTTATCTTGACAATTCTTTCCAATTTTTTTCTGGGGTCAAGACTGGGGAGTGATACTTGAGCTGAAAGCAAACTCTAAAGTGAAAAATCTTAGGGCCCTTTTCACATCTACTAAAATAAAGAAGTGGTTCAGCAGAAAAAATAAATTAAAAAGAAAAAGAAGAAGAAGAAAGTCATGTACCCGGTAGGGTATCGTGAATTAAATGGGATATTTTCAATCAAAAGCACACACAGCTGTAAAGATATTTGTATCTTGCATGAGTTAGGAAAAATCTAGAGATTTCAACAAATAAGTTTTTTTGGTTTCTTGTCTCCCTACTTGATAGTTTATAAATCAATTTTCAGCAAGGTCAAATGTTTATACAAATCAGGTTTTAGTTGAAGTATATGGTTAAAACTTACTTACACTGAACTAGATCCCATTCTGTAGCTAGACATCTAAAATCACATGCCAGACAGATAAGACACCAGAGAGCTCATAATTGTTAAATTTTCAGTTAGTTTCCAATCGTGATGCAAGCCACTACGCATCATTTTAGAGTAAAATTTTCCCCCCTTATTTACGTAGTTGTTAATAATTAAATTGGACAATCATTATTTTAAAAGTTTGAGCCGATCAAAAAATAAACATAATTATTTATAATTATATTTTAAGAGTTCTTCTCTCAAGCCAACAAATTGTACATCAACACAGGCATGCTTGTGTTGGTTGGATCCATGGATCTAGAAAAACTTGAGCACAATTTTGAGTCCAGAAATATCAATCTGAATTGAAAGGGACTTTGAACGTGAGACTGCCAAATTCAACGTGCTTCCGAATGGACATGAGGAATTAGACATGCTAATAAAATGTAAGAGAGTTATAAATTTTTCTGGCAGGATGTATAGGAAGTATCAGAAGATGAAACTAAGTATGCATGCAAACAATATTAAACCAGAAATAGAAATTTACCTTTTTTCTATTTCATTCAAGTTTTGTGCCTGATTTAGAAGCAAGAGATTTCTTCAGTGGCAGGTAGTGAACCGAGAATCTTGCCCAAAAGCACTAAGCATCCTGCAAGCTACTTCAATCAACTTCCCTGCCAAGTAAAGAGTATTAGCTCATTGAAATGTGACATCAGAAAGCTGTGTATTAACTTCAATTAGTTGATGAAAATAACATCCTACCAACAAAAAGACATGTAAATCAAGAGCTCCTACTTTATCATCAGGCTTCCTTGCACCAGAATTTATTAAGAACTATTGGATCAAATAAATGAAACATTGACTATGACATTCATTTAACAAAAGATCATTATTCAGATTTTGTTCAGAATTTTAAACACATATTTCAAAGGTTCTGGACTTCAGATGCACGGTATGTCCAGGAGCAACATAAAGTTCTTTTCAATCCAACAATCCAAATGGGAAAAGCAATGTCTTTACTTCTCTCACTCTCTCTCTCTCTCTATATATATATATACATGTATATATTAATGTACATACATTTCTCATATTTAAGGCAGACATAAGAAAAATATTAAAAAATGGAATGGACTATAAATGGCAGACTGCAAATTGCTGTAACAAACAAAGAAAAATGAGCTGATTCTAATAGGATAGCACATCAATTTGCATTATATTGACAGAGAACTCCCACCAGATTATTGTGGTCCCATATCCACAGTAGTTAATTAATCACAATTAAAGTATATAATAACAACAAAAATAATCATGCCTAATGAATATTTAAAAGAAAAAATACTACTGTGATAAGAATATATTAAATATATTAATAAACTGTTGTTCATGTAGGAGTAGGAGCAAAGTCAGTCAAGATTCCACAAAAGTATAATTTTATTTCCATCAATGTGGTTGAAGTTCTGTTTTCATTTTATTTAAACAATTTCCATATCCTCTCTGAAATTCTCTGGTGTAACAAGGATTGATTATAAGTAAGATCTAGAATTCATTTTCTTTTGTTTCTTGGTGGGATATTTTTACACCCGACTTCTTGCATTGAGATTACATTTTGTCTAAAGACGAGTTTACATATCCAAACTAAAAAATTCACAAGAAAAA